TGTAAAACTTCCTACTTCGCGAGACGTCAGGACTTGTCCGTCGCTTGTTTTCAATCTAATCAACTTTCTGTTTTACAGGTCCTTCAGGACTAGTACGAGGTTGCAACTAGGCCGACCATTTGCGGATACATATGTTGCAAGGATGCCTCATGACTTAGGCAATCTCAACTATGTCCGAGGAGTTGGCATAAGGGTGCTTCACGACTTAGGCAACGCTAGCTAAGTCTATGACTTTGCCGCAAGGGTGCTTCATGACTTAGGCAAATCCAACTAAGTCCGTGATAGGGGGATTTCTTGCTCTGACCTCTTCAACGGTCAAATTAGTAATCCAAAATCACAAATATGAGTTCAAATAGTTTAAAATGAGTTCTTCCCCTTCCTTCCCTATTTAGGATGTATTTTTATATCTTGAAGGAAGGAAAAAAGGTTTATGATGTCCTTTTTGTCATGAAAGAAGAAAAAGGAAGTTTTACTTTTCTTATTATAAAGAAGATAAAAAGAAGTTTCTTACCATAATGGATTAGAAAGAAGTTTGTGTTTCTTATCTTACAAATTTATGCACGCAAATAACTTTGGATGACACGAGATAACTCGTGCAAAATCCGATCGGATTCAAAGTCTCTGGTCAGATGACACTTCGCTTGAAATCTTTGTCTTGATTTAATTGCATCAAATCAGTAATTGCCTGATTAACCTCTATCATACAACAATTTAATCACGGCATTCAACTCCGTCTCTCTTTCCTATATATATGCCATTGCCTTCTTCCATGGTTTGTTGCAGTCGTCGCAGTTCGTCTTTGTTCGAGTGTTCTGCTGCTTCTGTACGCGCATGGCTCGTCTCTTGTTGCTCGTAGCGATTCTGGCGGCCGCCATGTTGAGGGCGTCGTCGTACACGCACACGGACTGCGGGATAGCGCAGACGGCGTTCGGTGAATGCGTGCCGTACGTGATCGGGAAAGACCCGTCGCTCTCGGACAAGTGTTGCACCGCCGTCAGGGCCATCAAGGAGCTGGTACCCACGGTGGAGGACCGCCGGGCGATCTGTGCATGCCTCGTGCAAGAACTCAAAGATGCCGGAGGTTCTGTCGACTCGTCAAAGGCCAAAGGCCTTGCCGGGGGTTGTGGCGTCTCCACTGACGTCATCCCCACCAGCCTCAGCTTTGACTGCTCCAAGTAAGAACCCGTTTCTCTGTTTCTCTCCGCTGCATGCTCGATTACTGTTATTTCATGCAAGCAAATGATTTAGTTGTTGTTGTAAATTTACATTTAGTTTTGTGTTCGAGAAAGATTAAGCGATTGCATATTTTCTAAAAATCATAAAGTTTCCTTGAGAGAAACATTATGTATAGAGAGGTAAAAGTTTTATATTGACTTTGAATTGATATATTATTGTTGTGTGTTTTTGCAGGATTGCATGACTTGGAAAATACGTGTAGGAGGCTGAGAGATGGAAGAGATATTTATATGCATGTCTCTTTGTGTTGGGAAATAAATCGAATAATAGTGAATGAACTTTTGGCTGGACTTTATTTGATGTTTGCTTTCCATTTTCCACTGGAAACTTACGTTACTACTACCAAAGATGCACGCAACAGATACGAGGATATTTAAATATTGATCTAATCTATCTTCCGCCAATCTACAATTAAAACAACATTAATCTCTCTTCAATCCAGAAGCTTTGTGATACATCCCATCAATTTTATTGGTTTTATATAAGCATAACAATCTCGAACAAGATAGTAAGACCCAGGAATTCAATTGATGAATCAAGAAATTTGATTCATGTTATTAAGCAGCTCAGCACAAAACACAGGGTTTTGTAGACACATTGCTTCCTCTGTCAATACATTTAACAGACTATAAACTGAAGCTTTCATACATTTACCTAAACACTAAGACATGAAACACTCTTATGGCATCAGAGAGGCTATAAAGAAGGCACATCTTGAAATATATGAATGCAAATCTGCATTGATGCAGAGGTGACAACCACCTTGCCAGCATTAGAGCTTTACCACCACCACACTGATGTTGTCTACGCTGCCCCGAGAGATGGCAAGCCTGACCAACACAGCAGTTGCTTCTTTAGCAGCAGAATTAGCTACTCCACATGGATAACCATCGGATGCCAAGACCTCGAGGCATTTCCCGATCACCCTGCATGCCATCTCGCTCGATATGACATCCCACAGCCCGTCGCTTGCTAGTATCAGGAACTCATCCTTCTCGGTGCGACCGGTCACCGTAAGTTCGGGATCGGAGCTGACGTATGGCTTCAGATGGTAATCCCCTGTAGTTCGGGATTGAGAAAGCCAGAATTTGATGAGTCGAAATAAACTTACTGTGACTCAAGTGACAGAGAAGCCATCGATTCAGGAATAATATGGTATACTTGCATTTTACATATTATTTATCCAACATTTGTAAATACATTTTTTTTTTATTTTCTACTCCTGCCATTCCTTTCAATAAATCAAATATTCTTACCATCATAATGAATTTTATATTTTACTGATGGTATAATTTTTTAGTTTTTGAAGGGATATATATATATATATATATATATATATATATATATATGGTAATATAAGATTTAGAGGTATAATTATGAAAATCAAGTGAAATTTATCATTTTACCTTAGGAATATAAGGATAAGAAGAAATATATATCTTAATTATATGTGTGTATATATATATATATATATATATATATATATATATATATATATATATATATATATATATATATATATATATATATATATATATATATATATATAT